GTTAGTAGAGAGTGTGTGTACGTGTGTTGAGTGTTCAGAGTGATGCGTGTGGGATATCCAGGGTGATCCAGTGTATGTGAACAGTGAGATGTTTGGGCGCTGAAGTCGCCTTAGCCAATTAAGAGGGAACTCGTGTCTGAAAGCCATTTCTCTGAGTTTTGAGTGGGCACATGTCGCCAGCATGCTGCGTTGCTGTTTACATGCATGAAAAGTGTGTTTGAGAACGAGTCTGATTGCACTAGTGGGTCCTGGCCCCAAGGCAACATATACAAGTGGGTAAAAACGAAGAAAATCCACGGACCTTACGTAAGTCGTCACAAAAGGTTGGGTATCCTCCTAGTACATAGCATAGGATTGAGGTTGGCATAGCAGTGCCTTTTTTTTTTTTTTTTTTTTTTTTTTTTTTTTTTTTTGAAAAAAACACACCCAACAGTGTTAGTGGTGCTGGTAAAAGCAGACACCACTAGCACCCGGGTGGAGGCTCCATCTGGGGAGCTTCACCTGCTGGAAAACGGGTCCAACGTCCCATATGTACAGAATTGATGAATGTGAACAAAAAGAACCGGAAGAACGGACAGCCTGCCAGCATTGATTGCTCTGGTTTCCAGAGGATTGACTGTGCAGGTTTGTACTGACAGTGAGTTTGACACCGTGAAATTCCTCCCTTGCGAGAAAAAGAGCTCCCATTCATCGACTGTCCACCTTCACGGCGGTGGTGCCTCGATTACACACCCTCGCTCGACCGAAGTAGTCTACGATCACCGCCGCCGACTTCGTCAGTTGGCCGAGGCAAAACCAGGCACACAGTTTTTGATGCAACTTGTCCAACGACGCCCACTTAAGTTTCTCACATAAAATGTACCATGCTTCAACCATCTTAGAAGTTTGGACGGGTTCCTCTTCAACGGATTCCCTCTTCCGAAGTGACTCCAACCTGGTAGGGTATGCCTGTACATCCTTCATCAGAGTGTACAGGTACCAGAAGTTCGACCCTACATCACGACAAATCCGAAGTTGTCCTTCTTCCGCACTTTGCCACGAAGGGATTTCCCCGTTCGGGGCAACATCATCTTCGAGGTGCAGGTAGTCACGGTCCAGACCAGAGCGTCCAATGTCTTCCCAAATGTTCTTCGACAAAATGATTAGATCGACATCCGGCGCTGAGGAGTTCCTACTCTGCGACGAAGTCCCGATATCCATTCTGCATCAGCGGAGAAACGCAAGGAAGCGCATCCGTTGCGATTCTCGCAAGTGCATAACCAGGCATTACAGGGAATTTATATGCACGAAAGGGTTCGATAATTGGTAATTGGTTCGCACATCGCAAGAGAGCGCAAATTTTCTAACCGCCGTCTAATGCCGACTTATTTTCTACACGTCATTCATGTAGGTCGATAAGTGAGAGTAGATTCGCACTTCGCAAATCAGCGCAAGTCCTGCARCCGCCGCCGACGATTGGAAAATAAGTGAGAGTAGATTCGCACTTCGCAAGTGAGCGCAAGTCCTGCAACCGCCGCTTAATTTCGACTCATCTCCAACACGTCGTTCATGTGGAACGGTCAGACTACTCTCTTATTGGGGACCATTTTCCTTACAGATATTCAGCATGTCCGTTGTAACAGTACGGACAGTCGTACACATAACGGGCCGTCGACAGGCGATTTTCCTCCTCTCGAAAAACAGTCTCTAAGTTGTGGTCGCTATGTTCCACTCTCCAGAAAATCTCGTCACAGTTATCGAGAAGGTAGTGCAACTGAGAGTGCACCAAGCAGTCAACTCTGGGGTCGAGCTCCTTCCTTAATGCCGCATCGTGCGACAACCGATCTCTGAGTGGTCGGCCCTCGCGGGTTACCTCCAATATGGCTTCCTCCTCCCCCTCTCTGGGCCTCGCAGCCTGGGGAGTAGTGGCTCTAGTAGGCTGGCTCGTGGCCTCCTGCTGCCGCTGCTCAGTAGTCGGTCCTCCCGAATCGGTCCCAGTGGCCCATGAGCCTAACTGTGCTCTCAATTCCCCCATCTCTGGCCCGTGTTCCGGGGTCCTCTGCTTGAGGTTCCTCTGGCGGCATATCCACTTCCATGGCAGCAACCAACTCGTCCAAGCGGGATGGCTCCTCCCCCTGTGCCTCAAGTCGTGGAGGCTCCATCGCTCCAGTGAGAGTCCCCTCCTGTACGTCCAGAAGTATTGCCAGTGACTCCTCTGCCTCCCCCTCTTCTTCTGGTGCAGGTTGGGGTTCTTGGGTCAGCGCCTCCATAGGGGTATCTGCTAAAGCAGCGCCTTCCTGCTATGAAGCCAGCTCAGTGGGAGCCTTGAACTCAAAGCTTCCCTTGTTGGCTTCCTTCCTTGCCTCTGCCTCAACTGGGTCCAGAAATACCTTCCCCAACTTCTCCTGTCGCGATGCCTCTGCTGCCTCTTCCTGGCCAAACAGCCCTTGCACCTCCTTGCCTTGGATGTCGTACCTGCTCTACTCAGTCCAGTCAATCACTTTGGTGGCGGCAAGTTTTTCCACTGTGGCCGCCATTTCCTTGAGCTTTGCCTCCAACTCAGCCTCCTTCGCCTCCAGGCGAGCTTGCCTGGCCCTGCTTTCGGCCCTCTCCTCTGCGAGTTGGGCAGTCAGCTGTTCCACCTCGTCTTTCCTGAGAGCCAACTCATAACTAAGCATGGAGAACCTTTGAAAGGCCTCGATGGATGTCTGCTTTATCTCCTTGTCCACCCACTCGATAGCCCTTCTAGTGGCGGCAAAACCCAGCTCCCCGACCTCTATCGCCTCGTCTGTACCCTCAATCGCCTGGCCCATCTCTCGTGCCCTCTGGCGAGCTGCCTCTCTCCGCCCCTCATATCTGGCCCACAACTCGTCAATCCTCTCTTCACTTGTCTTTGGGGCGACTGGTGGCCTTGGCGCTATCCCTGCAGCCTCCATCCTGTCCCTTCGCTCATGTATCTCCTCAAGGCGAGCTCATACCCTAGCACGCTTTGCTTGGGCGGCTTTGTCTGGCTCCTTCCCTATGTCTGCCTCCGCGACTTCCTCAGTAGCAGCCTGCGAACCCTCCCCTAGCTCAGTACCCGCTGGCCCCGACGATGGCCCAACCAGGCTGGGCTCCTCAATGTCATGGTGCTCGGCTGTGTGCGCGGCTAAACGTGAGTCGACAACCAAGCGGGGCTCCGTCCTCCACCCCTCCACTGGCCCTCTCGCCTCAACCTCCTGCCTAGGTGACATAGTGGCCTCTGGTGGTGGTACTGGGGCCTCCTCGTTGTCTGGCTCCGCGACGCCCTTTGGCCAGGACCGCCGTGTCTGAGCCCGAGCTGGAGAGTCAGGGGGAGTATCACCTTCCACCACAATGACATTTTCCGCACCTACCCCCTTCAATCTGAGCGGCTCTGTCTCGGGCTCAAGGCGAGTCTGCCCTCCCCCTGATGGGTCCGTGGGGCTTTCTCCTGCTGAAGGGGCCTCCCACTGGGACACGTCCAAGTGGGCCTCCAGGCTCCTGAATGGCGTTGCTGGCACCTCACTCTCCCTCTGCTCTGGTGCCTGTGACGAGGGTCCCAGTAGGTCATCCTCTGTGACTTGATGGAACTCCACTTGCCTGAGGCCACAAGCAGGGAAGGACTCCCTTGCCCTAGCCGGCCCTGCTTGTCCCCCTTCTCGTTGTGCCAGGGCCTTCCGGCCACCTCTCGACGTCACCGGCTCTCTTGCCTCCAAATCCCTTAACCTCTTGCTCCGCCGCCTTCTATCAACCCTTGGCTCTGGCCTCTCTGGTTCCGGTCGTCGAAACGCCACCCTCAGCTGAGCCCGACAGTCCTCCCAATCTTGTGCCCGCCTCTGGATCTGTCTTGCCAGCGGACGCTCCACCTCTCTGGTCCAAAGGAGCAGCGTCTGTACCCACTCATCCCTCGGAACCCCCTGATCGCTTATATATCGTTCGTATGCCGGGATGAACTCCTCCTCGTTTCCTTCCTCCAAACGAGTAGGTATTCCATCATTCCCCAAAGGTGAAGCTCTCAGTCTCTGCATCCTTGCCTCTACCTCCGACCACGTCAGGGCCTCCTCTCTGATCTGCACAATGGGTTCCTCGAACCTCCCAACTCCCCTCAAGTGACGTACCCTCTCAGACACGTCCCATCCTCTCCGGGCTGCATGCTCTCGGTAGGCGTTCAGGAAAAGCTCGATGTTGTCGTCATCAAACACGGGTGTAAGCTCTCTCCTGAAGGGCCCATGCTGCTCCTCCCCTCCGGATGCCCCGAAGGTCTCTGTCGTGGCCGCGTGCCCCGCCCGCCCCTCTGCATGGCTGCCTTCTAAAAAGTCAGACCTGCACATCAGGCGAAGCAAAACAAACAGGAGTACGACAAGATCAGCATATGGGTTCAACAGTCTCCAGAGCAGACACACACCCAATCTTAGACACATCAAGCCTTTCCTTGCTTCCAATCATGGCATGGAATACTTAGGACGAGGGTCTACTCCGGGAGGGGTCACAACGACTAGGAGGGACTGCGGTTTTACCTATTCCCTGGCCACAAACTTTTTCAGCCTCGTCCCGGATACCCAATCTTTCCATTCTGTGTCGTTTAGCTCTTCGATCTGGTATGCCCCAAATCTGCCGCATCGCACAATCCTGTAGGGCCCCAGCCATCTTTTGTCAAGTCTTCGTGACCACTGCTTTTCCAGGGATGAGTCGTATAATAGTACACTATCTCTCACTGCCAAGGGCTCTTTCCGCACCCGGGTCATTTGATCCCACCTCATCTTATCCTCCATGCGGCTTCTCTCTACCTGACAAGCGGCCTCTCGCAATCTTTCCCCGGCCACTCCTACTTGCCGCGCCCGGATGCCGAGCAGTTCTTCGAAGGACAGGTTTACTTCCAAGTCCTAACGCCTCCACGTTTTTATAAAGCTTTCTATAGGGAAGGTGGCGTGCCTCCCGTACCATAGCGTGACTGGCGCATACTTGGTAGTCCTCTTCACCGTGATATTCTCCACGAAAAAAAACGCTCACAAAAATTTCGGCCACTGACCAGGCTTGCCCTCCGTCTACTTAGCCAGGAGATTCGTGATGGTACTGTGCCCCCTCTCCACAGGAGCATTTGCTTGAGGGTGCGCGGCCGTAGTATAGTTGGCCACTACCCCATACCCAGCCAGCAGGGTCCGCACCTCATTGCAGGTAAACTCCGACCTTCGATCCATCACAAACTCCTTGACGAAAGGGTAGCGCAGGTAATACTCCCCGATGCAATTCGCCAAAACTGGCCTAGTCTTCGTTCGGATAGCACGACCGTCCACAAACCCAGTGAGGTTATCCCGGACATCGAAGATATAGTTGCACCCATTTTCCCCAACTGGCATAAACAATAGATCCAGGTGTACCACCGCACCCATTTCCCTTTCCAACCTTGGGTGCAGGGGCTCTCCCGGCCTTTGCGCTGACCTTTCCTGGCAAGGTACACAGGATCGGCAGTACTTGATGACCATCGTCAGCATTCCATCCCAATGGTAGAGCTCGCTTATCTTTGCGCATGTGGCACTCACCCCTCTATGCCCACCTACTATACCATCATGTAATGCCGCTATGATGTTCAACTGTCGGTTCCTCCCGCACACAATCCGCTTGGGATTCCTAACTTGCCGCTTTATGAACAAATGTCCATCTCTCACCACGTAGAGGTGCCTCAACTTCTGCGCCTTGTCGCTAGCATCCATGTTCCTTATCTCACAGGATAGAAGTAGGCCCAGCTCAAGATAGATCCCGTCATATTCCTCTGCCCGAAATGCCTCCTTAATCTCCCCTTCTTCGAACTCGTCATCCTGGCTTTCCGGGATCAGAATTTCATCCTCCTCATGACTAAACGAGTCTCTCTGGTCGAAGTCTCCTTGCAGGAGCGTATTAGTGAGCAGATACATCCCTCCCATTAGCTGCTCATGTTCCTCTATCTGAGTAGGCCCTTCCTCTATTGTCCTCATCTCTTCTTCCAAGCCATGTGTCCCTGCCAGTGCCAACTTCATCATCCACTGAGTGTCCTTGCCTCCCCACGGATCTTCTTCCTGAAATGGCTTAAGGACTAAGTCGGCCTTCCGCTCATACCCTCTTGGCGCTATCCATATGGGATAGCTGACACAACTGGGTACTCACAGCGCCCACTTGTTTATATGGAGTCGCACATCTTCTTCTTGATCTAGGAATCCATCAACCGGCGGGGTATCTTCGATCGACCCCTGATCCGCACTGTCCCAGTTGACGCGGCTCAGACCATCAACTCTATTCTTATTTCCCGGGATCCTTTCCAGCTCAAAGTTAAACATCCAAATGTACGTCAACCATCGAGCGACGGTTGGGTCAGATGGTGTATAATTCTTCAAAGAGCAGGCCAGCGCCGTAGGGTCTACCCTCAATATAAATCTCCTGTCGAAGACATAATTCCGGAAGACCCTTAGGCAATGGAGTACCGCAAGTGTCTCCTTCTTGAACTGAGAGTAATTCCTCTCAATCGTATTAAACCGCCAATACCTTTTACGACTTGAAAATGTCCGTCCGAGCATGCCGGAAGCTCTTTTCACAGCCTCGACACTGCTTCGTGTTGAGAAACGGTGAGCTAGGCAGTATACTATTATCCTACTTAGAAAATAACGGAAAAAACAAAAGAAGGTTCTGGCGTTGGTTCAGAGTTGCAACTCGTGTGGGCACCCGCATTCAAAAGCAAGAAGAAAAGAAACAGAGAGAATTGAGAATATGGCAGTGCGCACGCATCTGTACAACTGCAAGTCCAGATACCGTTTTGCAATTTTCAAGCTACGTCAAGGTCATATCAGGCAATATCCGCTGACAGCGCAACAATCCACGCTGACAGCGGAAAGATCGTAGCCAGGCCCTCAGCCCGTCGTTTTTTTATTTTTTTTGTGTTGTCCCGTTTGTACCCTCAACTGTCGTGTATCTTTCCTTGTTCCAGCCGAAGATTCATTCTCATTTTGCACCTGTGGTGAGCACAGGAGCAGGTCCTCTGCCAATCCTTTTTGTTTCGTTTTTTTTCTTCCCTTTCTTTGGGCGTTGAAACAAAAAACGAAACGAATGAATCTTCCCACAGAAAATGGTCAGGTTCATCGGTTTGCTATAAATGGTAATAAGTGTATTTTGCTACCTTCGTTGGGCAGATGCACTCGTTTCGTTTTCGTTTCGTGTGTTGTGCCGCGAGACCCTTTCTCTGAACATGGGAGTGGCACTGCTCCTCTTTTCTCTCCTCCTGACAGCACGACCGTGGCCACCCCTCATACCATTTTTCTTTTATTATTATTAATTTTTTTAACAAGGCAGCTGCAACTCCTTTCTTGGGCTGCCCTCCCACAGCCTCGGGCACTGGCCGCGGACTGGTTTGGCGGGGGCAGCTCAAAGGTACTGGCGGTTCAAGAGTGCGACTTTCAAATCTTAATGACCTCTCCTTTCGTTTGGCATCCGCCTAGATCAAAACCCCTCCCAATACAGTTGGCCCAGCGTCTGTCTCGACGATGAATGACTTTTCTTCAGTCCCTTCATAATTTGGCGCCCCTAGCACCAACCCTCCTTCCTTGAACTCTCCCTTCATCCTGGCTACCGCTTCTTCCTGGTCTTCGCCCCAAACCCACTCCTGGTCCTGGCACACTAGCTTCCTTAGATACCCAGTCTTGGCAGCGAAGTCTTTCACGAAGCTCCTCCAAAATCTACAGGTGCCAAGAAAGCTTCTCACGTCCGTTATGGTCTGGAAAGGCACCGACCACTCTAAGATTTTATCTGTCTTCTTCACACCTGGCTTCCGACCCTCCTCATTGCAGACAAACCCTAGTATGGTAGCTTCTCTCAGACAGTGCTTGGATTTTGGCCCGTTTGCAGTGAGGTTGTGCTCCTCTAGCAGACCCAAGACTCAATCAAGATCCTGGATATGCCTCCAAACAAAGCGTCTCACTCTGGGCTGCACCTCGTCCTCCTCTCTCTCCTTTGGCCCTTTAACCGCCAAGTCGTCGATGTAGGGCTGGGTGATGTGCGGGCTGACTGTTTGCATGGCCCTGATCATATGTTTCTGTACCATCGCCACTGCATTTGTCCAACCTTGAGGAGCCACATTCATGTGGATTAGCACCCTTGGCGTGTGCATTGCCGTCACCGGCCTATCGGGCGGGTACACTGGAAACTGATCATACCCGGAATAGAGGTCTATAAGTGATATTATAGGCCTCCCCGCGCATGATTCTGATAGTGCATCTGCGTTTGGCAAGCCTCCTGCATTTCGCACCGTTACTGCATTTAGCCGCTGCAGATCCTGCGCCCACTGTAGCGTCCCGTTCGGCTTAATAAAGCAGAACCAAGGGGATGCATACGAACCACTAGAGTAGCCGGCAACATGCGTGCGCATCTTGCCATCCATATAATCCACCACCATCTTCTCCTCATCGGGGTTTGGGTATCGCGCACCCCTTAGATTCCAAGGCTCGTGAGGGATGGTGTGGATCCGGATCATCGGGATCTTGTCCACATCCAGTCTTCCACGCTGGTCATCATTAAAGACGTATGCGCGATGCCTCTTCTTCATCAGCTCCACCATCAGCGCCCGTTCCTAAGGCGAAAGAAAGCCTGTCTCCCCGACTATTAGCTTTTCTTTATTTCCATCATTGATACGACATGGATCCTTGAGTGCCTGCTCTTGCATCCGCCGTATCAACCCTCGCTCCCGCTCGTAATAAGCCTCCTCATCTTCCGTAACGAGCACGGAAACAGGGCGGCACTTCTTATGTACCGTTTTGTACCGCCTTTGGGCGCCCTGCTTAAGCCGTCCCCTAAAAAAGGCTGGCTTGTCGTCTGCGCCTGCGCCATCGCAGACCCTTTTCTTCCTCCAGGAAGTCGATAGATGAGTTTCACCTCTCCTGCCTGTGGGCTCTCCAAAACATGCTCTCTCAATGCCTTGATGGCCTCCGGGTCCGCCATCTCATGTGCCGCTACGATCTCCATAGCCTTACTTACATCCGTAAGGCTTAGTGACAGCACTTCCGCCCCACCTTCCTCCTCGGACTCCTCCGCGAGCCTCCGCCGCTCGTTCTCCGATTCCACATAGGTGAACGAGCCGGGGTTAGGCCTATTCCGCTCGCTCCCTGGCCCCGTGTTCTGGCAGGTGACAACTTCGTAGTTCCCACAGGCTGGATCACTCAGGAGCAACATCATCGTTCCATCGTGCTTGTTGAAGATCAAGGTCTCCGTTCTGCACATGAACGATCTGCCCAGAAGGATGGGATGGTCCACATGGCATGACGAAAAAACACATCCTTGCTCGCACCTTACCAATTTCTATGATCATATTCGATGATGTGCTGCAGAAGACTGCTTTGCAGTTAGCCCCGTGCAACACAACGTGATCTGCGCGGTCGATCTCCATCCCAAGCATGAGCGCATCTCTTTCCCTAATGATGTTCATTTCGGCGTCTGTATCCATCATTGCCACACACTTCTTTTCTTTTATTACCAAGTCCACCAATCCGCATGCCGCACACTTCCAGTCCATTCTCGTCCCAGCTTGTGTCCATCCCACTTCCCTGGGTAAGACGGCGCTCAAATGCACGTTGGGCACCAGCCTTCGAGACAACCGCCCTTTCAATTCCTCTCGGAGCCTTGGTGCGGATGCCAAAATATCTTTTAAGTTCATAAGGTAGTTATGACCTTCAAGGAGTCGGTCCACCATCCTTTTCACGTCGAAGTCCTCCTCCAACCTGACGGTGTACTTTCTTTTCCTGGGTACACCATCTTGTAGATCTGGCTCGGCTCTCTCATGCGCCTCTTTTCTCTGCGCTCTCTGCTCCGCCCGCCCATCCTCGTCCTAACGGAGTCTCTCATCCTCTGTGTCGTCATCCTCTTCCTCTTCTTCCTGGACCTCAACCACCTCCTTTCTACACTCAGGCTCAGGTCTCTTCCGTCGGGGTGCCTGACTTGGCGCTTGGCTTGGTGGCTGACTAGGGCCCGCCTTACTTTGACTCCTGGTTTGAGTTGCTTGCGGCGCCCGCCCGTGTGGGGTGGGCAGCCTGAACATCATTCCCGACCAAGCGCCAGATCCCGCCACGGCAGCCCCGGGACTACTTTGTTGTCCAGCTGCCGGCCCTGGCCCGGTCTCATAGAGGAAGACCTTTGGGAGGTCGGCTTTCCACCCTTGGACTTCATCGCATAGCTCTTTCAATCTCCGCTGGTACCTCCCAATTTTTTCCACCAAATCTTTCATCTTTTCCAGGGTGGTTACGGCCGGCTCCCCTTCATCCTCTCTCCCCTTATCATCTGACTCGACAATTATTGGCTCTTCCTTTATGGCCCCGGCCTTTAATCGTTGCGTAACCTCCTCACTATCCCCCGCGATCTCTTCGATCCTTATGGCCAGGTCCTCCCTCTCCTGCCACATTCTAAACATGGTCGGGGCGGCCGATGGCCCTGCCGCCGCCCGCCTGAAGGCCTCCTGCCTGATCCCTCCCGGGGTCCTGGGGTCAATGTGCTCCCCCAACTTGTCGTATATATCCCCATCCATACAAGAGGAAATCAGGCCCGCAAGCTCATCATCCTGCCGCTGCTGGCAGAACCGAATCGTGTGGCCTACGATGCCACAATGCCAGCTGGTCGCATTCCGCCAGTCGAAGCGGGGTCCCCATACCCTTGGCCTCCTTGCTGACTGCCCTGGTCACCTTGGCCTTGGCCCCCTTGGCTGTTCCACCTACCGCCACGTCCCCCTCCATTTCGGCCTCGTTCGCCACCCCCTCGGCCTCCTTGTCCCCGACCACCATTGCCCTGTCCTCCTTGCCCTTGGCCTCCTCCTCCCACCTCACTAGCCTACGATGCTTGCTGTGAGGGGGGAGGCTGGGCCGTGAATTGGCCTTGCGTCGCCGGGAAACTTGGCGGCCCTGCACTTGTTGATGGACCCGAGAATGGAACCATCTGTCCAGTATGGGTTTGGCCCCCTCCGCACGAGGTACAATGACTATAGCTGGGCCAGGGTGCCTCTTGACAATGTGGCACCCAATGTCCGCAGGCCGGGGGCGGCCCCATTGGCGCCGACCCTGTCGATATGGGCACGGTCACAGCGGCTATTGGTGGTGCAGCAATTGCCTGGGGGGCCTGTCCTTTGCCAGACCCTTGGCCACCCAGCAACAGATTGTGTTGCTTCCGCTGGGCCTTAGTAAGGATTTGCGACCCCCTCCTCCCCACCGTAATCCTCTTGCCCGGCACCTTCTTCCCCCACCTCTTTTCCTCGGCCTTGGACAACGGCTACCGCCTTTCTCTGCGCCTCGGCATCCTGGCCATAGCCTAATGCCGCAAGTACATCAGTGACAATCTTTTTAACTCCCGGGGTCCCTGATGCAGTAGCGTCCCTTTCCTTCCTCTTCCTCCTTTGCAGGCGCATCTGATGCTGCTCTACCTGGTCTAAACTCCCATCCTCCACTCCTCTGTCGATGGTGGCCCAGGTAAGCTTTGCGCTGCCTTCTCCATGACTCGTCAGTTCGTCTGCCTCTGACCCAGTAAGCAGTCCCAGAAAGATAGCGCACTGCCTCTCCTCAGAGATCCCGTGAACTTTCCTTGCCTTCTTCTTAAACTCTTGTACGAAGGCCCCTATTGTGGTAAAGTCRTCCTTGTTCATTCCCTCAAGATCTKRGATGGTAAGCAACCCATCACCCAACYRATACTTGCRCAGCATGYTCTCCCTGAATCTTGCCCAACTGCCRTGGGCGGCATCCACAAYCTTMTGCACCTCCTGATGGTGCCTATGGAGCACGTACCTCATGATACGCTGGAATTTCACCTCATCTGACAATCCCACCATCGCCTGCTCCACCAGGTCTAGCCAGTCTGAGACCCTTTCCCCATCAAAGTGGAAGGTCTCAACCCTCGGAACATTACTTGGGGTCTTCTCATGTCGATCTAGGGCTGCAATGAGGTCCTCGAGGGTCAGCACCCTTCCGGCTTCACCACCATCCGGCATCTTGGTAGGCCTCCTTTTCCAAATTCCTGTTAAGAAGAAACCAAAGGCACTCACCTACTTAGCATCCTACTTCAACCTGGTCTAGCCCGCATTTCCTACCTAGTCTCACCCTCGACGTGAGTATTGTCACCCTTTTCGCTCTTGCTATGACCTGGCAGACAACCAAATACACATATACAGGTCCTGACTTTCCCTTTTTATACTTAGTCCCTCATCACTTACCTTTCACTTCTATCACACTTATCACTCTCTTATGCCTATTTCTCACTTGTACCCGGATGTCGTTCCACCATGGACAACGGTAAGCTTCCATTATCCCCGGCAACGGCGCCACCTGTCGAGCGCATCGGTCCGGCACCGCTCGTGGCAGCGCAGGACCCTCTCGGCCGCGTCAGGCAGGAGTTGGACTAACTTTGTCGCGAACACACAAATGGAGCTTTCTTAGGCCGCTCCGACCGAGTGCGCCAGCCATACCTCTCGCGAGCCCCTACGACAGGATAGGGCCTACACGAGGCACAACTTACCTCCACCTTATGGGAGTTGTCACCTCCCTTCGGTGGGCGTATCACGCCGAGCTACCAGTCCACAGTACGAAAGCTACTCGGTTGCAATCGCAGAGGTGGACCAGCCGAGGGCGTTTCTCGTTCGCTGTAGCATAGGGGGTACGTGCGGTAACACGCCTATCGGACCCGCACGCGAACCGACATCTTGGGGGGTTGAAGTCCCAAGCGAGGCGCGACTTCGGTCGACTATGACGCATCCCACACACCACGCGCGGACCACCTTACGAACACAAAAATAAAACACACACACACACACACGCGCGAAACGACACAATACAAACAACGCGACAACGCTCCTAGCCCCTCGGTAGCCAACCCATAACTTTCCGACGCGGGAATCGGATAGGCGTCGCGCGCGAGACTTGATATAAAACCGCGCGGACACAGGGCTAAGCCATATCGACTCGCAATGCAAACGCACGCAAGCAGTCGCAATGATGGGGTATTATGTAGTACCCACACTCGCGCGGTCCTCGTTAATCTCGAGGGTCGCATTCGACACTCAAGTGTCGGCTGACACGCGCCTTGAGGGTTAATCTCTCGACGCTGGACAACCACCATGCGCGGTTGAAGACCACACCCTCTTCTGCACCCTGTGAAGAGGGGTTGAGTAGACAGCTTTAAGTTGTCGTGGCGGTCAAACATCGAGGGGTTTGACTTTGACGGCCGCTACGGACTACAACGTCCAACCATGAAACGCAAAAAGGAAACTCACTCAATTTCTCATTAGATGATGGCCCTCTAAAATGGAAGGGGGTGGACAAGCCCACACGACACGCGCGCGGATGAGGCCCGGTACCCTACCCATAGGCTACCCGGCGTACAGGATAATAAGGCCCGTACACGGACTTCCATAGGCCGACCGGGACTAGTCCTCCACCCACGTGCCGCTTCACGTTACAAAAAAAATCCCAAGTTTATTGGCCGTGTCGAGCTCGTGGTCTCGCCGCCTGACCCATAACTCTTTTAGTGCGGGATGCGACGAGTGTCGCGCGCGCGAACTTAGTATAAGATCGCGAGGGCGCTGGACTCACACATACTATCTCGTTATGCAGCACTACGCGAGTAACTGCAATGACGGCGCATTACGTAGTGCCCATACCCAAATGGCCTATCCTGAGCCAAGGAGCCACCTTCGACGCTCAGGCGTTGGCTGAAGCGCGAGCCAAAGGGGGTAACCCTTTAGCTGGCGCAAAATCGACCTGAGGGCCTTCCCGCCTTCTGCACCCTGAGGTGTCCCAATGGGTGCGAGGCAAGACGGACCCTAGGGCAGGAGGGAGTTTGGAGCGGTGGTGAGTTGTCTGGCGCATCACCAGCAACACGCTGACCCTTCCGCCCGGAACTTTATCGTTCCACCAAGATAAATCGCAACAAGGAAAAGAAGCAAGAATTGGCGGGGGATATCCTCTCCCTTCTATTCACCCCAACCTTCGACTGACCATTAGTACGTGGGCACTTCAGGCCACGCTAATTCCACACGTAGGTACACATGCACTAGCACATACATATGCACAAGGGGAATAATTATGTGACGATCACTTCTCACAATCATAGTGGGTTTCCTCCTAGCCATACATATATGTGCGACCGCAAGGCAGTCCAATCAGAACCCCAAGTCATTGAACATACCTGCAATCACATCAAAGTCAAACAAGAGTCCACACACTACGCGGAGTCAAATCCTACCAATTCCTATACTCATACACCTCACTTTAGCCATGCAAGCCCCAACCTCCAGCCAACCAACCTCAATTAAATACTCAGTACCTTTGTTAAATGGCCATTCAATAAAAGTCCGGGTAAGACCGTAATGAAACAGAAGATCACCAGGGCTAAAGCCTGTTAAGGTAGAGTATTGAGAGCGAGTTGAGGTTGAGTCGAAGACCGACGAATCGGAAACCGACTTGTTATCAGTGATAACAGATGAGGATCCTGGTAGGATCAAGTTGAACTAGCCCAAGTCCTGAATCAGATTGATCAAGCCGGCCTGTAATATAAGACAGGTCAACACCTAAGACGAAACCTGTAAGCCTTATGTGAACTATCTTCTATACGGTGGTCCCATCTAACCTTCGGGTATCCAACTAGGTCTGAGCCTAGTCCTTAGTCAGGGCTCAAAGAAAAGGTAGACATTTGGCTGGGTTTCCCCTATACAGAGTGGACTGCCAACTCTGCCACCTGTCATAATATAATCTAACTCCTTTGAACTAAGAAAATTTCGGCAGCGCTTCTCGTAGGAAAACTGCTTTTTCATAATTTATACAAGCCTGAATATAAAAACAGAAGTAGCCTTTGACTTACTAAAGCTCAATTTTGTCTAACTCCCTGAACTAGAAAAAATTTGGGCAGCACTCCCTTTAGAAAGGGAGGCTTTCCATATTTCTACTAGGCCATATATGTAACTTAGACAAGCTGAACTCTTAAAAGTCTAAATTTGACTAACTCCTTGGATTTGCAGAAACTTCGGCAGCGCTTCCCGTACGAAAAGTGACTTACCAAGATTTATACCAGTCCAAGATAAAAGCAAAAATCAGACTAAGTAAAAAAAAGTTATCTCAGAAAATGCAAAAATTGAATCTAACTCCTATAGCTCTAGCACGTGGCGAGCCCTTACAGCAACTACCTATCAACTCAAACTCAGACTGGGTAGCGATGCCACTTAGCCACATGCAAGCCAAACCACAAAGGTAAGTGCTCTCACCAACCCCAGGTTGACTTAAGCAAACCTTAGTTCATAGTCTTTCAGTGTTTTAACCCCTTTTATACCCTGCTTACATAGGGCATTGGGACTGGCCATTCATCTTAGAAACAATGCCAACCCTCTGCCTTAGTTATACACGAACAGGTTGCACAACTACTTTTCTCTTCGTTGGGCATGTGACTAAGCCATTCATCTTATACCCCATGCTTAGTCGCCTTGAGATGTTTAAATAGCCAAGTTATATATACCTTTATGCACCTTAGTCTTCAAAAGGAGGGCGTAGGGTTGAGTCATTCATCTCAGAAACAATGCTCAGCCTGCCCAGGTTACTTTTAGTTATAGTTCTCGATTATACTCTCTTCGTTTGTGATAGGGCTATAGTAAGGTCATTCATCTTAGAAACAATGCCTGACTAGCCCTCTTCGAATATAAGTACATATATATACAATATTATAGAGAATCATATTCCTTTGTTCTCATTATGGTCCTGAGGCCTCAGACCTAGACCATTCATCTTCGAAACAATGTCTAGTGCTCCGGCCCTGAATCCTCCCTCAGAATAAAACAATCAAGGAGAGATGTGGAAAGAACATGAGTATAGACGAAGCACAGAAATCCAGAATGCAAAATCACTCTGAAGTCCAAGTATTCAAAGTCAAAGCAGATAGCACATGGAACCGAGTAACCATTCCATTGAGAATGATACAGAAGAATCGTGAGTCAATGTCCATGCCCAACAGGGCAACACCAACAACATAACCCAAATGTAGCTCTCTCTTGTGAATGGCGCCAGGCGCCCTATCTACTCTACAACCTATCCTACAACTACAACAATCAACAGCAACCAAACAACTTGACTACCAACGAGTGATGGTGTCAACACCAATGCCGTATTCCACCATCACCAGGTACGTGTCACATTCCCCACACTCTCCCTTGTTTCCCACACAGCGCCCTTCACCTCCGAAGTACCACCTTCGCCCTCACCTCCCCTGCACCCTCATGCGGCCCGGCTATGGCCGCCAGTGCCCTGCACGCAGGCAGCGCCCTACCGCCTAGCGCTGGTCTGTCCTGTCTTAGCGCAACGCTACTCTGTATAGTGCAGCACACTTGCATTTGCGCAGCGTGCCCGCATATGCCAACATTGACCAAGATCCCCGCTGCCTCGCCCTTGCTTATATGCCAATGCAGCATGTGGGCGGCCTCCCTTTAGCCTGCGACCGGGACCCATAGGCTGAAGCCTTCCTGATACAGTTGGGCCCCGGAGCAATGCAGTTGCGTCTCTCTTCTCAAGGCTTGGGGTCATATTCAGATAGTGGGCCGATATTCCCTTTGGCATTTCGGCCTCTCTACCCAGCATGCATTGTCGGCCTCACGTTCGAGTGCTCAGGGCCTAACTAACTCGGAGGCCCTGGGCATTTCAACATTTGCTGAAATCCGGGACTCGGTGCACTCCAACCAACCGGCGTGCTGCAAATGTATAGACCCCACTTCGTGAAATGTTGGTCGAGAGGGCTCTTGTTGATTTGCTGGCCCGCTTTCACTTAGGGCGGGCACTAGGCTTGTTGGGGCCTTTGCCCAAAACATGTACATCATGGCAAGGCCCCTACTTCAGGGCTCAATCCTCACATTCCATCCCCCTTAACTTCGAAAGTCCGCTGAGATGCTTACTTCGCAGATGCCTTCCCTTTTAACTTCCGTTCATAATCTGCCACCACCTGAGGAGCTGTTTCCATCAGTTCCTCCCGAGTAAACCACCGACCTTCTTTAGGATCCGTATGATGCCTGAATCTGATCCG